TACTGAGGTAATATGTTCCTCATTTCACTTTCGTTTTGGTTTTAATTTTAGGGGCTAATAATTGTCCTTATCCTTTCATTGTCATTGGCACGATGTTTTCATTCATTATGTAGGCTGCATTTCTCAACTTGGAACGGTTGACTATCACCCACTCAAAAAACTTGGAGACGATATGGCAGAGCAAAGTACATGCAGATTCCTTTTCTAAACTAAAATCTTTAACAGTTGAAAACTGTGAAAAGTTATTGACTATTTTTCCTTCTACTGAGGTAATATGTTTCTCATTTCACTTTCGTTTTGGTTTTAAGTTTAAGGGCTAATAATTGTCCTTATGCTTTCATTGTCATTGGCATGATGCTTTCATTCATTATGTAGGCTGCATTTCTCAACTTGGAACGATTGACTATCACCCACTCAAAAAACTTGAAGATGATATGGCAGAGCAAAGTACATGCAAATTCCTTTTTCAAATTGAAATCATTAACTGTTGAAAACTGTGAAAAGTTATTGACTGTTTTCCCTTCTACTGAGGTAATGTGTTCCTTATTTCACTTTCGCTTTGGTTTTAATTTTAGGGGCTAATAATTATCCTTATCCTTTCATTATCATTGGCAAAATACTTTCATTTGTTATGTAGACAGCATTTCTCAACTTGGAAGAGTTGACTATCACCCACTTGAAAAACTTGGAGATGATATGGCAGAGCAAAGTACATGCAGATTCCTTTTCCAAACTGAAATCATTAACAGTTGAAAACTGTGAAAAGTTATTGACTGTTTTTCCTTCTACTGAGGTAATATGTTCCTCAATTCACTTTCGTTTTGGTTTTAATTTTAAGGGCTAATAATTGTCCTTATCCTTTCATTGTCATTGGCACGATGCTTTCATTTATTATATAGGCTGCATTTCTCAACTTGGAATGGTTGAATATCACTCACTCAAAAAACTTGAAGACGATATGGCAGAGCAAAGTACATGCAAATTCCTTTTCCAAATTAAAATCATTAACTGTAGAAAACTGTGAAAAGTTATTGACCGTTTTCCCTTCTACTGAGGTAATGTGTTCCTCATTTCACTTTCGTTTTGGTTTCAATTTTAGGGGCTAGTAATTGTTCTTATCCTTTCATTGTCATTGGCAAAAAACTTTCATTCATTATGTAGGCTGCATTTCTCAACTTGGAAGAGTTGACTATCGCCCACTTAAAAAACTTGGAGATGATATAGCAGAGCAAAGTACATGCAGATTCCTTTTCCAAACTGAAGTCGTTAACAGTTGAAAATTGTGAAAAGTTATTGACTGTTTTTCCTTCTACTGAGGTAATGTGTTCCTCATTTCACTTTCGTTTTGGTTTTAATTTTAAGGGCTAAATTATGTCCTTATAGTTTCATTGTCATTGGCACGATGCTTTCATTCATTATGTAGGTTGCATTTTTCAACTTGGAATGGTTGACTATCACCCACTCGAAAAACTTGGAGATGATATGGCAGAGCAAAGTACATGCAGATTCCCTTTCCAAACTAAAATCATTAAGAGTTGAAAATTGTGAAGTTATTGGCTGTGTTTCCCTTTACTGAGGTAATATGTTTCTCATTTCACTTTCGTTTTGGTTTTAATTTTAGGGGCTAATAATTGTTCTTATCCTTTCATTGTCATTGGCATGATGCTTTCATTCATTATGTAGGCTGCATTTCACAACTTGGAAGGGTTGACTATCACCTACTCGAAAAACTTGGAGATGATATGGCAGAGCAAAGTACTTGAAGTTTCCTTTTCCAAATTGAAATTAGTAATAGTTGAAAACTGTGAAAAGTTATTGACTGTTTTTCCTTCTACTGAGGTAATACGTTCCTGGTTTCACTTTTGTTTTGGTTTTAATTTTAGGGGTTAATAATTGTCTGTATCCTTTCATTGTCATTGGCACGATGCTTTCATTCATTATGTAGGTTGCATTTCTCAACTTGGAAGGGTTGACTATCACCCACTCAAAAAACTTGGAGAAGATATGGCAGAGCAAAGTACTTGCAGATTCCTTTTCCAAACTGAAATCATTACTAGTTGAAAACTATGAAAAATTATTGATTGTTTTTGCTTCTACTGAGGTAATACGTTCCTGGTTTCACTTTTGTTTTGGTTTTAATTTTAGGGGCTAATAATTGTCCGTATCCTTTCATTGTCATTGGCACGATGCTTTCATTCATTATGTAGGCTGCATTTCTCTGCTTGGAACGGTTGACTATCACCCACTCAAAAAAGTTGGAGATGATATGGCAGAGCAAAGTACATGCAGATTCCTTTTCCAAACTAAGATCTTTAAGAGTTGAAAATTGTGAAAAGTTATTGAGTATTTTTCTTTCTACTGAGGTAATATGTTTCTCATTTCAGTTTCGTTTTGGTTTTAATTTTAAGGGTTAATAATTGTCCTTATACTTTCATTGTCATTGGCATGATGCTTTCATTCATTATGTAGGTTGCATTTCTAAACTTGGAATGGTTGACTATCACCCACTCAAAAAACTTGAAGATGATATGGCAGAGTAAAGTACATGCAAATTCGTTTTTCAAACTGAAATCATTAACCGTTGAAAACTGTGAAAAGTTATTGACTGTTTTCCCTTCTACTGAGGTAACGTGTTCCTTATTTCACTTTCGTTTTGGTTTTAATTTTAGGGGCTAATAATTATCCTTATCCTTTCATTGTCATTGGCACAATACTTTCATTTGTTATGTAGGCTGCATTTCTCAA